CTCCTGCTGCTTCTCTTCCTGCCCCTCCTCCTCCTCCTCCCTCCTGATCTTTCTCCTCCTGGTCCTTCCCCTCCTTCTACCTCCTCTTCCTCCTCCTCCTGGTCCTTCCCCTCCTAATACCACCTCTCCCATACCCTTCCTCCTCTTCTCCTCCCACCAGCCCCTGCCTTCTCTTGCTTCTCCTTCTCTACCTCACTCTTCCTGTCCCTTCTTCCCCCCCCCCCTCCCTCCACCCCTTTATCCTCTTCATTTCTCTCTCCTCCTCCTCTGCCCTTCTCCTCCTCCTCCTCCTCCCTCCATCTCGTAGTGCTAAAGTAGGTGTTTATGCACATGTGTGTGTGTGTGTGTGTGTGTGTGTGTGTGTGTGTGTGTGTGTGTGTGTGTGTGTGTGTGTGTGTGTGTGTGTGTGTGTGTGTGTGTGTGTGTGTGTGTGTGTGTGTGTGTGTGTGTGTGTGTGTGTGTGGGTGTGGGTGGGTGTGTGTGTGTGTGTGTGTTAAGGTTATGTTTTATGTAGAGTGGATAGGTAAAGGCTGTTTTTTTTTTTCGTTCGTGTTTTTTTTAATATACCAGTAAAGCTTAATATACTGTAAACGTGTCATATATACATGTGATAAATGTATACATGTGCTTTAGGGACAGGTGCTATAAATATATACATGTGTTGTATATAGAAGCTATTATTAAAACACTTGTGATATAAAATAGGCGTTTAGTGCACATGTGTGAAATTTATAGGTAAAGTTCTGTTTCAGTGGCGACTCCATATATTACCTAATTACTACAGTGCATTACAATAACGAAAATATTTGTCATAACGAAAATATCTGAAATTCCTTAAATATTCGTTATGTGAAAATGTTTGTAATAGCGAAAATATTTGAAGCTGGGAGAATATTATAGTGAAATATTTGTAATGGCGAAAATGGTTGTAATATTTATTTAACAGAGGAAATAAACGTAACATGTAGTGCTGGTCCGGTCAGTCAGACGAGTGTGTGTGTGTGTGTGTGTGTGTGTGTGTTAGGTCGATAAATCAAGTGAGATTTATTTTACTTTTTTTTATATATGTTTATTGCGGTAGACGTTAATGGGGAGTAAATATTGACTTTCTTTTACTCAAGATGATAGTTAACGTGTCTTATATAATGTAGTGTATATATATTAATGTAGTGAGAATATATATATATATTTTTTGAGGGAGGGAGGTGAAGGGTAGGGGGTGGAAAGTGGTAGGGAGAAGGGAGGGAGGGATTCTAAGTTACCTTTCAACACTCAGTCAATAAGAACACAAGTTGGAGATAGGAAGTCCCCACACAACCACATCAAACCCTCGCCTCATCTTCACCAGACACGACCCTAAGCTTGAAGTGGATCCAAGCCAAGGTTCTCAAATCAGGACCTCAACAAGAGAAGAAGAAGAAGAAGAAAGAAAAAAAAAATACCCAACCCCACCCCGGCGTGTTGGCACTTTGGGGTGATATTCCCGGCGAGGTAGCAGACCCAGGGAGACCATATCGCACTAGGGTCCTGGGTTGCTATCATGGCCTCACGCGCGCCCCAATAGACGAGTCAGGTCTTGAGGCAATGCATACATATGTGGGATAATGTGGGAGGTGGAGAAGGAGGAGCAGCCACCACCTTCTCCTCGGCCCCTGATGAGTGCCAGGGCTGTCTGTCTGTATGATGGTCCCTCATACTCTCTCTCTACCTCTCCCTTTCTCGCACCTTTACTCCCTCACACCCTCTGTACCTCTTCCCCACACCCTCCCTCTTTCCCTTCCTCACACCTCTCTCTCTCTCTCTCTCCTCTTACTCTATCTCCCTCACACACTCACTCCCTCTCTCTCATATCCTCCATCACACCTTTTCTCTCTCCTTTCCCAAATCTTTTCTTCATTTACTCTTTCTCTCCTTTCGTCTCTCTATCCCTCCCTCCCTCCAACCTCCCATCTCCCCCAGACCTGTACGGACCCATCAACCCGTTATCCCCTCACACTATTCTCCCTCCTTCCCTCCCTCCTTCCTTACTTCCAATCGTGTATCCCCCTCTTCTTTCTCATCCTTCCTTCCTTTCCCACATTCTTCTTTCCCTCATTCTTCTTTCCCTTTTCCTCTCCCTCCTTCCCTTCCGCCAGCCCTCTTTTCACCTTCCATTTCTCCCTTATTCTACCTCCCCATTCACAATGACTAATAGTACACCCAACACTTTGCTTTAGTTAAATATCTTAAGTGATATTTATTAACCTATTTTAACTAAGTTCTGGCGACGAGGACCAAATTAACCTTTATGGTATTTTAACATTTCAATTTGGTATTATTTTGGTTAGATGTAGAAGTGATGGTGTTTGTCTGTCCGTCTGTTCGTTAGTGATAAATGTAGTTTCTACTCGATGGATTAAATGATAGTTTGGGTGTGAAGGTTTGTTATGGCAGGTTGTTGTGGTGGTGGTTGTAACAGGTTTAAGGGAAGGTGTGATATGTTGTACACTGTCTCTTGACATTGTTACGAGTTTTCTCAACAGTTGATCGTTAACACTAAATAATAACAAGTGACACTGAGGATAGTTTAGGTTGATCCTAAATATAACAAGTGACATTACCATCTGACCATCTTCCTTCTTACTGTGTTGTGACGGACCAGGAAGACGAGGCCACTAGCACAGTGCTTGTTATGTTCTTTGGTAAGATAAATTTAAATGTCATCCAAACCACAATATATACGTTGGGAGTGAGTGCTTAAGTATAATATATATATATATATATATATATATATATATATATATATATATATATATATATATATATATATATATATATATATATATATAAATATAAATATATATAAATATATATATATTGTCCGCTCGTTACTACAAGTAGAGGCAGCCATCCATCTTTGTTATGTGGTGGCCCTAAATCACTGGCCGGGTCTGATGATGGCGCAGTTTGTCAACATCAGACAGCGATTAGTCTCTGGTGATGAGGCGGACCTCGTCAGGTCAGGGCCACCGTGACCTCGCTCTCCACAGGCACACATTTCCCCAAATCATTTTCCAGAAGTAGTGACATATAAAGTGGTCATCACTGGTGCTTAGTTCTGTGAATAACTCGGTGTTGTGAAATGGCACCATCAAGAGCCGCGTGAGCAGTGTTTACATTTAGGTTCGCGCCTGTGTACCAGACAGACGCGGACTCCCTCCATATATCTCTGCTGTGGTTTACCGCGGACAGTTTATGGCTCTCGTGATGTGGATGACCTAAATTGTCTGGACAAGATAATTGCATCATGTGCAGGGATAATTACACTTGACAAACGGCCGTATGGAAAAAAGACAATTTTCCAAAAGAGTTTGTATAGAAAGACAGAATTTGCCAGAGAAGGGCGCAGGTAGTCGGCCGCTCGTGTGCACTAATCGGTGACAGTAAAACGTACTTTAACAAAGGTAATTTTACAAGAGATGGATGGGGAAATCGACGGACCATGTCGTCTGTGTTGTGCCTTCGGGGTGGTGGTGGTGGTGGTGGTGGGAGAGAGGAGGGGGACAGGTGAGGAGGAGGGGGACAGGTGAGAGGATGAGTGGCTGCCTTAAATCACTTGACTATCGACTCTCCAAGATGGATGGTCTTATTGTCGACGTTGGTGAGGCGTTGGCGATGATGCTGAACCCTCCCATTCACCGGTGGAGTATCCTTGGTGTGTGTAAGGGTAGAAAGGTCATCCTCAAGGAGGTTAAGTCATTGTATTTAAGTGGTTAAGTCTTCGTACTCAAGGGGTTAAACCATCGTACTCAAGGAGCTATGTCATCATCTTCAAGGGTTTAAGTCATCGTCCTCAAGGGGGTTTAGTTGTCGTCCTCAAAGGATTAAATCATAATCTTCCTCAAAGGGTAATTCATCGTCATCAGAGGGTTAAGTAATCGTCCTCAAGGGGTTAATTCATCGTCTTCAAAGGGGCTAGTTAAGTCATCGTCCTGAAGGGGTTAAGTCATCGTCCTCTTACACTTAACTTTCCGCAGGACGAACAAGAATACATATAACCCCCAGGATGGAGGACAGTCTAGAAGCGCCCACTGACTACATCATCACCCAGATCAACCAATTAGAATTAGACTCACGATTTTGCCGAGTTCACATAAGATCTCACGTAACCAAGCTGTGTCCTCCCTCATGGACGAAATTATACTTGGATTAGATGTTTCTCTCGGGGATTTATTTTATTTTTTCTTAGGATGAACAAATTAAAGTGTTGACAAAATAAGAATCTATTAGGAAATATGTCTGTCATCATCTTAGTTGAAGTTCTCCATCTACCCATTTATCTCCCCTTTCTCCCTCTTCCTTCTTTCTGTATTCCTCCCCTACCCGTTTATTTCCTGCTCTCACCCCCCTTTCTGTATCTCCCTCATTCCCCCCTCTACCCTCTACTTGTATCCCTCTCCCTACTCCATTATCTCTCTCTCTCTTACCCCCCCTCCTTCCCTCCCACCTCCTCCCCTACCCATTATCTCCCTCTCACCACCCCTTCTTTCTATAACCCCCTCCTTCCCTCCCTCTCTCTCACCCACCACCTCCCCCTACCTGGAGCAGCGGTCGACCAATGGTGGTTGCCGTAGCGACGAATGCATCCTGGGGAACGCAATTGCCTCCTGACCGATGACGAGAGACGGAATTTAGACGTGCGTGAAACAAGACTCAGCGACCATTATTTCGCCACCTGTTCGAGAAAGAATGTGACTGGTGTTGTTAACTCTGGTGGTAAAAAACGAAACAAATATAGGAGGAGAGATAATAAGGTGTTTGGTGGGTAATTTGTGAGAGAGAGAGAGAGGAAGGGAGGAGCGAGAGGCGGAGGGAGGATAAAACTGAGCGCGGCAACCGTCTTGTCTTCAACCTATAATCACGGGCCACCAACTCCGCCTGCTGCTGGAAGACTTTGCCTGCCTCCCTCCCTCCCTCCCTCCCTGAATCCAACCCCCCCCTCCCCCCCCCGACCCCCAGGAAAATATAAACCGACTCGTGGAACATTGTTGAAATTTCTTTGGTAAAAAGACTGACTGACAATCCCGGTGTTAGTTGTGTGTGGAAAGGAGAGAGGAAAAAGAGACGTTTGAAGGACAGGGTTTAAACTATACTGGGCCAAACTTGTCAATAAGCTGTTCCCGCCTTGAATTTGAGGGCCTGAGGTGGTCCACACACACGCACACACCCGCCGTACGAAACAACACATCACAACACATCCTGACTGTTTCAATACTCCATTTTTACAGGTAGAGAGCCTGCACCACACCTCGTTACGGACTAGTTCCTCTAAACAAAGACAAATAAAATGACCACCAGACAGATATTTTAAACACTGTGAAGTCCTGACGAGATGGACCCTTGAGTCGTGGAGGGTTACATAACACAGATCAAATATGAGAAGAGCTGAGTATCAGAGCTGGACCGTCTCGTGGGCAAGATGGCAACCAATCAACACACACACACACAGAGGCTTTCCACAGCTCTCCTGACACTCCGATGATGACAACCCGGGATATTCTTTTCTTTATTTCTGGCGGCCAAGACTGATTTGTTTTGTTTTTCTTGGGTTGGTGGAGGTGTGAGGTAGTGTGGTGTGTGGCCCTGGAGGTTCACATCACTGGCCACCACACTCCAGTCTTCAGCAGTCTACACCATTTAGTATTAAAGCCGTGACGTCACTACCAACACACACACACACACGCATGACGTCATCACCGATACGCATTTACGTTCAGGACCTCACTAGATGTGTGTACACTCGTAGGTCTTATTGTACACGTACACACGCACTTGACGGATGGCGAACACATGTACACGTGCGTGGGATCAGTATTGCTAATTGTGATAGGTGTATATGACTTCAGTAAGGACACGTACACATCCGTGACGTCAGCAGAGACACACACAGCGGTGTCACCCGCACGTCCACACTATAACACGCGCACCTCAGCCTGATGTGTCCTGTATATTTAGGCAGGCGTGTGGAAGCCGGGCGAGGCGAGGCGAGGTGCTCCCCGGGAGGCCATGGGCACGCCCGGCCGGAGGACACCGTGGGCGTGGCGGGCGTGGGAGCCGACGCCCACCACAATATCACAGGCCAGGAAGGCGCGGCCGTTACCGACACCTATTTTTGGCTTGGCGTAGGCTGGTGTGGTGTAGCCGGGCTCACGAGTTCATGTACATTTTTTCACACTTTGATATCTGTTTGTGTACACTCTGGAGCCGCTCGTTCAGGATCTTCACCGACTTGTCGGGAATGGGGGGGAGGACGTCTTGTAGATCGGGCTCGTGCCGTCCGAACATTTTTCGCAGGCGCTGGCCTACGTCACGGCTGGCTACAAGCTGCCGTATCTTCTCCGCCGTCGATCGCCGAAAGACGCAGAGCGCCTGCAGGAGGGAGGCGTGGAAAGTCTCGTACTTGTCGAGGAGACGATACCCGTGCAGGAGCCCAGACTCGTTGTCCAGAAACACGAGGAGGCCAGAGGCAGCGTGGCGGGCCAGGTTGTGGGCGGGCGCCTCCATCATGCTGGGGTTCCACTGCATGTTGTAAAGGTTGTTGACCACGCGGTCCAGGTTGGCCGTCAGGTAGTCAAAAATGATGAGGTCAGACCACTGGGCTAGCTCGGCCAGGGCGGCCAAGTCCCGCGGGTCGCGCTCCTCCACGTCCAGGGGGTGGAGGCGGCGCCGGGACGACCTGAGGGGCGTGGGGATGAAGGCAGGCGCCAGGCCCTCCACAAATCGGGTCATAACCACCGGCCTTTCTTCCGCCCACTGTGCCAGAGCCAGCTGGCCCCCCACACCCGCCCACTGCCACGCCCCCGCTCGCACTACGCCCAGGGCAGAGGGTGGCACGTTAGTCAGGCCCAGCAGGCGGCTAAGGTAGAAGCTGAAGATCTCGCCTTGAATCTGGTCGTAGTTCTGGCGGTAGCGACAGCAAGACTGTGTCCCATTCTCGAAGGTCAATAGGCGATTCTGCATTCGACCGCAGCCCTCCTGAAGGCGCACCACTGCCTGGCGCCGCGTGAATTTGCGCCAGTCATCCACTTCATGGTCAGGGAAACCCTTAGGGAGGGCAGCCTCCACGGCGGCGCCCCAGTACACCTCGTCCACCAGCAGCGCCGCCCCCTCCTCCACGTCCGGAGCATCATGGTCCAGCCCTCCCCACCTTGTCTGGTTGACAACGACGCTGTCGACGGTGACGCTGCTGGAGGTGGAGCCACCTGGGGTGTGGCTGTTGGCGACGGGCGGCGCCCAGGTGTGTAGCGGCGGCGTGATCCCCTGGCCGCCCTCCACCACCATACTGGCGCCCTCCACCACATCCTCCACCTGCTGCTGCTGTTGAGGGAGGGCGAGTGGCGCAGAGATGGGCGACCTGGCCAGCACCAGGGGTAAGGTGACACCGACGGCGACGCCCAGCAGGAAGGCGAGGATGGCGGCGACGAGGCAGACGAGGCGGGAGGCTCGCGGGGGGAGCGGTGGGGAGGGGAGCGGGATGCTGAGGGAGCCTGCCTCCACCTTCATGTTGTCGGGGCCCCGGCCACGGAACACCAGCCCCTCCACCATCACCCAGACCACCTCACTGCCCTCCACCCACCATCACACGACCCGCACCACCTGCAACACAACACACACTCCGAGTTAGTCATCACAACACTACACTACACACCACCATACACTGATGGTGGCCACAATAGTAGTGATATATAATGTATTATTAATCATAATTCTAACATTTAATAGAGATTTATTAATAATAATAAAAATTATTATTATTCATAAAATAATTTCAATACTACTACTACTAATAATATTATTATTATAATACTGTAGCACTATAATATCAGTAATTATACACGTAATAATTATAGCTGGTGATATTATCAATATAAATATGAATAACGACAGTGTACATTTTAATAATAATGTAAAAAAGGTATTAGTTAAAATAACACAGGGAAAATAATAATAATAATAATAATAATAATAATAATAATAATAATAATAATAATAATAGTAAAGAAAACCTACGTTGGTAATAATAATGACAATAAAAATAATCCTGAAAATTACACAAGTACACAAAACAACTCACGTATACAAACAAAACATTTGTGTACTTCTCTCTCGGGTTAATTTTTATGGATGTTTTTCTGCACCTCCTCGCGATGTGTCCAGCCAATTAGAATTAATTTAGAATTTTAGCTGAATGTCGTCACCACAAGATGATGATAATAAAACAATGGCGCTAAAATGAAAGGGATACAGGTCACGTGATAACAAAAGAACCTCAACCAATCAACATCACCGCAGGAACGACAAACTCTTCTGAAAAAAAAAAATTTAAATACATACATATATTTCACTACGTTAAACAAAATATATAATATAAACCAGGATGTATTCTTAATGGTCAATTATAATATTTTGAACGTCGGCGGAGTGGAGCAAGTGAACGTAGCAAACAATGAAGATAATTAGCGGAGCGGGTACACGAGGCTCGGACAAACACCACAGGTCGTTCGTTTAAGCAGATGACAGTCACATTTTGGTGCTCGTCCGTGGTCGAGTTAGGTGGTCCTCCTCTCCTGTCTGGCCCTCACCACACCACGGCCAGCAGCCTCTTGTGGTCCACGGTTAGGATATCTCAAAGGGTAAAGGGTTGCGGTATATTAAAAGGTAAAAGGTTAGGATATATCAAAGGGTTAGGATGTTGCAAAAGGTCTAGGGCTAAGATTATCAAGGGTCCCAGGCTAAGATTATCAAGGGTCCAAGGCTAAGATTATCAAGGGTCCAAGGCTAAGATTATCAAGGGTGCAAGGCTAAGATTATCAAGGGTCCAAGGCTAAGATTATCAAGGGTCCAAGGCTAAGATTATCAAGGGTCCAAGACTAAGATTATCAAGAGTCCAAGACGAAGATTATCAAGGGTCCAAGACGAAGATTATCAAGGGTCCAAGACGAAGATTATCAAGGGTCCAAGACGAAGATTATCAAGGGTCCAAGACGAAGATTATCAAGGGTCCAAGACTAAGATTATCAAGGGTCCAAGGCTAAGATTATCAAGGGTCCAAGGCTAAGATTATCAAGGGTCCAAGACTAAGATTATCAAGGGTCCTAGACTAAGATTATCAAGGGTCCAAGACTAAGATTATCAAGGGTCCAAGACTAAGATTATCAAGGGTCCAAGACGAAGATTATCAAGGGTCCAAGGCTAAGATTATCAAGGGTCTAAGACTAAGATTATCAAGGGTCCAAGACTAAGATTATCAAGGGTCCAAGACAAGATTAATAAGGGTCCGGCTATATTATCAAGGGTCCAAGACTAAGATTATCAAGGGTCCAAGACTAAGATTATCAAGGGTCCAGGGTTAAGATTATCAAGGGTCCAAGACTAAGATTATCAAGAAGGGTCCAAGACGAAGATTATCAAGGGTCCAAGACTAAGATTATCAAGGGTCCAAAGACGAAGATTATCAAGGGTCCAAGACGAAGATTATCAAGGGTCCAAGACTAAGATTATCAAGGGTCCAAGACTAAGATTATCAAGGGTCCAAGGCTAAGATTATCAAGGGTCCAAGACGAAGATTATCAAGGGTCCAAGACGAAGATTATCAAGGGTCCAAGACTAAGATTATCAAGGTTCCAGAGCTAGGATTTTCCAGAGACCAGAAAGTACCCGGATTTTCCCTTCAAGGTGAGGATTTTTAGAGATCGGATTTAACCACCTCACTTTAACAGCAACAACGAAAATATTAACCTAAAATGGCGGCGAAATGTCATCGAGACTCGACCATCACTGGATTAGTTTACCCCCCCTTCCCCTAAATCCGGGTTTAAAAGGGGGGAGATTTTTAACTTAAGGATATTTGAGAATAAATGTTTCTCAATCTTAAATGTTAGTATGTGGGTGGCTTAATCCCACCACCCTTCCCCTTTTCCTTCTTCCCCACTTTAGGCAATTTCCAAAATGGCGCCAGAATTGCACTAAGACTCGACGATGGTGTTTTGAGAGTCGCATCACAGGGAGGTTCAGGTCCGTGTGATTGGTTACCCTGTTGTTATGTGTTCTTCCGTACGTGATTCTGAGTTTAGTAACTGGCTGTACGTGGGACTTCTATAACTCTCTGTACGTGGGACTTCTATAACTAGCTGTACGTAAGAACTTCTATAACTCTCTGTACGTGGGACTTGTATAACTGCCCGGATGTGGGAGCTTCTATAACTGTTTGTACGTGATAACCTCGTTGACTGGGCGTGTATGACTGTGGGTGACTGTACGTGTGTGTTTGAGCTTCTTGTTATGGTGTGCGTGAGAGATGGGACGAGAGATAGTAAACCCCTGGAGTATATGTACAGTATATGAAAGGTGTATAATATATATGTATACATGTTAATGAAAGATAACGGGTACACACACACGCACACACACACATATACACAAGATTATACACAAACACATACACACATAACCATTGACACACACGCATAGTAACTGATTAAGAATACACACACACACACACACACACACACACATACATACACATACACACACATACATACACAAAATTATACAAACACATACACACACAACCATTGACACACACGCATAGTAACTGATTAAGAATACACACACACACACACACACACACACACACACACACACACAACAACACACATTAAATAAAAAACAAATTAAATCGCAGGATCTACATCAAAATGACTATAATAGAGTCAAAATTTAACAGACAAAACAAAAACAAGAAAACAATTGACAGTAGGTAACAAAATCTACCTCAAATGCCACACAAGACACCCTTAGTATACCTTTGACCCCTTGACCCCTTGACCTCCAAATCAATAGGTGTGTTTATATCCCTCTGGTGAATTGGCTAGTAACGTTTGGTTGAGGTCGGATGTATAGAAGAAGAGTTATCGTGTGGACATCAACAATTTAATAAACAGACGGACCGATTGACAGACTGCACCGTGCTATATATTTACTATTATCAAAGCGAGTTTGTGTATATGGTGGTTTATCATTCGTATGTACTTTCTGTTAGGTTTCATTATTATTATATATATTTGTTGTCATTTAAGTTTTGCATCAGGGAAGGTTAGATTAGGTTAGGTGGTTAGATTAGGTTAGGTTAGGTGGTTAGGTTAGGTTAGGGTAGGGTAAAGGTTAAAGATAGGGTAGGCTCGGTTAGTTTAGGTTAGGTTAGGTTAGGTGCAGATTAAGTTAGGTGCAGGTTTACGTTCAGCACACGTTAGGTTGCAGGTCAAGTTAGGTGCAGGTAAGGTTGAGTGCAAGTTAGGTTAGGAACAGGTCAGATTAGGTTAGGTTAGGTTAGGAACAGGTCAGATTAGGTTAGGAACAGGTCAGATTAGGTTAGGAACAGGTACGGTTAAGTTATCTATGAAACACTATTATACTATAGGTAAGGGACAAGTCTAGGTATTACTGTACTTCTAAAAATCATACCTAATTAAGGCATCACCTGTATGACACCTGCTGCTTCGGGGAATTACTCTGTCTACCTGTGCATTATACCTGTACTGATGATACTGCCATTACAAGGGAACTTATGTACCCGTAATATGTAACTTAATACCCAAGCCTTCACGTTTGTTGATATTTCTGTATTGGTTAGCCGATTCTGATTGTATAATTGATTTTCTTCTGATTGTGATTTGAATCCCGGGTTCTCTTTTGATTCTGATTCGAGTTGTTTCTGATCTCTTATTGTGCGTGTGGTTGTGGTTATGCCTGTGGTTGTAGTTGTGGATGTAGTTGTGCCTGTAATTGTGGTTATGGGTGTGGTTGTGATAGGAGTTGTGGGCGTGTGGTTCTGGTTATGCCTGTGGTTAGGATTGTAGTTGTGGCTGTAGTTGTGCCTGTAATTGTGGTTATGGGTGTGGTTGTGATAGGAGTTGTGGTGGTGGCTGTGCGTGTGGTTCTGGTTGAGGTAGCAGTATAACGGGCACGAGGGCAGCCACTCCCGGTGTCACCAACCTGCTCCTCTACATCTGCCTAGATTTAAATGCGTAATAGTGCTAAGTACCGTGACCGGCACCCATAATACCCTGGCCTGGCCCACAACACCTTGGCCTGGCCCACAATACACTGGCCTGGCCCACAATACATTGGCCTGGCCCACAGTACCCTGGCCTGGCCCACAACACCTTGGCCTGGCCCACACACATTGGCCTGGCCCACAATACATTGGCCTGGCCCACAATATATTGGCCTGGCCCACAGTACCCTGGCCTGGCCCACAACACCTTGGCCTGGCCCACAAATACATTGGCCTGGCCCACAATACATTGGCCTGGCCCACAATATATTGGCCTGGCCCACAATACACTGGCCTGGCCCACAATACCCCGATTCTGGCCATCGTTTACCTGGGGTGACTCTTCTTTCCTAGGCTGTGGTCCCTCTTCCTCCTCTCCGCCTCCACCACCACTCTCTTCCTCCGCCTCCTCCTCCTCCTCAAATTATTTATAGGCCTTCCCTTCCTCCCCAACTAGTAGGACTTCCTTCCTAAACTGTGATCCTCTCCTCCTACCCTTATCTAAACAATGACCCCCTCCCATCT